TCCTGATACTCCGGCTGAAAATCGTGAATCGCAGTCACAAACTGATGATAATACTCAAACCGAACATAATGATTGATTAATTTTATCATTTTATGATAGATTTATTGCGAAATATTAATTTCTTATTATTGACTGCTTTTTGGTAATAAATTTAATAAATTTTATTAAAATAAATATATAATTAATTGTTTTGATTTATTATTGAATAAAATCGGTTATTATTATTATGAATAAACTAAATCTGGCATTTCAAAAGAAATAAATTGGTAATCTTTCGTAAATGTATGTGTTTCGAGATCGATTTGTGTACATTTTATAACTAAAAGTTTGACGAATAGTTTTGTTTCCGAATTTTGCCGATAATAATGAATTTTTGCCGATAATAACGAATTTTTGCCGATTTGTGATTGCCAAGTGGCAGGCGAACTGTGCAAATCGTCCATAATAATTTTGACGATTTTTTTGGCAACAATCGGCCAAAGTTAGATCAACTTTCGTCTAACATTCGTCAATTTGAAATCTGGACGAAATGGACTATTCTGACCAGTGAAACTTAAGAGATTAATACTGCAACTTGTCGTCATTCCTATAATATTGAATAATTGATTGCTTATTTCCTTTGCTGTTGCATCACCTTTAGTAGATAACGCTGCAATTATGACTGGTGGGATCTTTGATATTGGTATCTAAAATATCATATGCGCGCATTTTTGGAATTTCTGATTTATTTTGACGCACCCCAAAATTTAAGTTGCACAATTAAGTGGAACGGTCAGGTGGTTGATAACTAATAGTAACATGTAAAAGTTTAAACTAACGCAATTAACGCGATTAACGCGATAATTTTTTTCGAAATAAAATTATTTCTATTATGTCTTCCTCTAACCAAAGTAAATATCCTGAGAATAACCCTTTTTTACTCAAACAAAATAATACAAATTATACATATACTATTATTAAAGAAGGTTTTTACCCTTCAAAAAACATAATTTGCTATACCTCAGCACGTTCTCGCAATGGAACTCAATTTAAAATTCCAAATAAATATTTAGTTCAAACTAGTTGGGGTAGAGGAAATTTACGACATACCATAAAATGTGAAATTGAATATGAATTAGATGGACAGCCTGTTTTTAGAATTTGGTTTGAAAAGAACTTTCAGCAATACGTAGTAGAATCAAAAGAGTCTCCAACTAAAGCTGCTAATGAATACTTGCGAGTTGGTACACTATTTTAAATAAAATTTTGTATTTTTTATTTATAAAATTAGTTTTAACATTTGTTTAAAATAGAGTAAAAATCCTAATACTCATGCAAATCTTTCTGGAATACATGTATTTGGTCTTAATGCTACAGATGTAGAGAAAGAACGTGAAAAAAAAAATCATTCTCATTCTTTTAAACCATTTAATATGTTAAGTGAATCTATGAAAACAAAACGGTCTCGTTCATTTTCTATACATATGGATACAATATTTCAAAATGAAACTCTGAATTTCTATAATTCAAGCAATCAGCCAGTTTTGCAAGAAATTCGATTTAATGTTCAAAATAAGAATTACTTGGCTAATTATTGTGATAAAAATGAAGAGAAAGAAAATCAACGTATTGATGCATTTACAAAAGTTATTGATCAAGGACCAATTTCCTGAGATGCTTACCGAAATCTAGCTGCACTTCAACCTGAGTTACCACGAGACCGTGTCATCTTAAATGCTAGAAAAAGAATTAATGAAGAAATGAGTCAAAAAATTCCCATTTCTATTTTAAATATTAAACATACACCTCTTGCATCAACAATAAATGAAGCTCCTGATATTGAGGATCAAGAAATTGTAGAAGAGGTATTACAATACATTGGTAAAGCAGGTTATAGACATATTTCAGACATTTTACTTTTTGTAATTCCAGATCTTGTAAATCGAAATATTCTTAATCCAAATGATCCTATAATTCATGTACAAATATCAGGTGATGGGCGTAACGTAGGTAGAAAAGTGAAACATGTTATGGTTACTTGTACCATTTTAGATGATATATTGAATATTCATAAGGCTGACTTTCACTATACAACTATTCTATATCCAGGTGTAGAGAATTATGAGACATTACAAAATGTAATGGAACCAATGATTAGTGAATTGCACAATTTAGTAATTAATGGTCTAATAGATCCAAATGGAACAAAATGGAAAATTGAACCTTACTTTAGTAGTGATTGGAAATTTATGGCTATTATATTGGGTTTTAATGCTGCAAATGCTAATTACTTCTGTCCTTGGTGTATGTGCACAAAAAAAGATATTGGAAACAGAGATAAAATCCACAAAATTGAAAAAAATATGAACCAGATACAATCATCAAAACCACCACCTGGACATCTTAAGGCTCCTCTTCTTCCTATGATTCCTTTGGATCATTATGTACCTGATGAGCTTCACGTAATGCTAAGGATTTGGGACCGAATGTGGGCGCTAGTAATCCAAGAACTTAAATCTGAAAATCGATTTGATGATAATATTAGAAGAATTATTAGTGTGGAGATGCAAAGAATATCGGTTAGATTTCATTTTTGGCAGGATCATGATACACAAAGTTGGTCTTACATATCTTTGATGGGAGGAGATAAAGAGATTGTTTTGCAAAATTTAATTTCGAAGTCCTTTTTAATATAGAACGTGCTAACCTTATTAATCAGTTATAGAGAGATTTTTACGTGCTTTATAAATCCATGAAGGAACCGGAAACTGATTCTGCACTTTTTGCAATTCAAGCAAAGAAATGGCTTGATTTATTTCTTACACCATATCAAGGTGAACCAAATACGATTTCTTTTAAAAAAGGTCTTTATCGTCCAAAGGATATTACGCCATACATGCATGTCTTGATCAACCACATACCTGAATTCATAAAACTACATGGGCATTTTGGATTGGCAGCATTTTCATGTGCAGGGGTTGAAAAAAAAAACCACGATCAAGTTTCAGCTTTTTTTAGAAAAACAATGAAGGACGGTGGTAAGGGTATAGAAAGAAAATCTGCCATTTTTGAAATTCTTTATTATGAAAATCAGTTTATGTACTTTACCCAACAATCTACTTTTGATTCAGTTCTTAAACCTCAATATTTTCAAATTTAATAAATTTTAATAAAGATTTTTTTGATTTTACAAATATACATAAAAAAACAAAAAAAAGTAATCTATATTTATAAATTCTATAAAATTCTATAAAAAAAACTTATATCATACATCTAACAATTAAATTTGCTGTGTATAAAAGCTTAGATGTATATATCCGGCTGAAGTTTGATTGTCTTTCGCGTCCCTTTTACTTTTCGTTTTCCACTCCACTGTTAACTTAGGTAAATTAGACCGCTTTTTTCTATATTTTAAAATTTGCTCTTCAAATAAATTACAATTAACCTTTTCTTCAGCTTGTCCATTAAATAATAAAACAAAGGTTTGTTGGTTGTTATCAAAATATTTACGCCCCCAATTCTGATTGTTAAGAAGGGTTGCTAGCTGTGTATACGCGTCTGGACCTTGAAAAAAATACTTGTAACTACCACTTTTGTAGTTAAAATAGTGAATATACTCTTCAAAAACTCTAAAAAATAAACTTTCTAAGCATGGAAAAGAAAGAGATTGTTTGCCAGACTGCTTGAAATGTTCTTTAAGCTTGCTTCCTATGATATGAACGAGGTCAGCTTTGAATTGATCTATTGCTTCACAAGGTAATATATATAATCCTTCGCGACGAATATTATATTTTTGAACAATATTTTGGTGGCGGGTTAAACCTCTTTTTGTTTTATATAAAACTTTACAAATTTCACACTCAAAATATTGTTGTAAGACAGGTTTTGATGAAGAAATTGGTGGGGGAATAGCAAGAATATCAGAATGGTTACAACATTGAAAATTTTTAATATCATCAACGGTCATTATTTTCGGTAGATCTGTAAATTTGACAAGTTGAAATTAAATTTTAAGTATAACAAAAAACAAATGTTTTAATAGTAGCAACGCTTTGTTCTTACTTGAATACTTGGAAAGAACAATTGGTTAGAAAGTTGAACAATTGGTTCGACGCGTCCATACTGTATAAAAAAAATTGTTTTTATTTTAAAATTATCGGGATAAATTATAATTTAGGGGGATAATTAATCAGCTGACCAATGATCTGCTAAGATCACTTGAAATTTAGGACCTTAAAAAAGGCCCAATTCCATAAATGCGCGCATATGTTTTGTTAAATAATCTTAACGGCAAATGTATTTAATTTGTCGAATTAATAAAACTCAAACTTTAAGCAAAAAGCCACGAACTTGGGTGGCAACCCTATAAAAAATATGTATATGGTTTTTATACTGTATATACGTATTTTTGATACAGTTTGCATTTTTACATACGGCATATCAGTATAATGTATACTGTTCGCAAAATGTGCTTAGTAAAAAATACAATAAAGTATACTGTAAACATACTGTGTGATACGGTATATTAAATTCATACGTCTATAACGTATATCATTTCTACTGTATATCAGTATTTTGTATATGGTTCACAAAAATATTGTAAATAAAGGATACGGTATACGTATTATTCTACAGTATATTAAAATTCATACGTTTATAACGTATTTTCTACAGATATACACA